GTTTGTCATAGTAACTCAAAATTCTGTGTCAAAGTTAAAGGTCATAATTATTCTCCTTTTCAACCAGTTTAAATAAGTCTCCGAGCTCCCCAAAACATGTCTGTAAAGTTTCTAGCTAAAAATCCACTTGGATCCTGTATTTGATCATGCCTGTAAACCCCTTTAATTCAGCCCTGCTCAAAACAGGCTGTTTCTGTGTCTGTAGCTTTAAGTGTAAATGAGCTGTGTTCACCCAAGCCCCTCTCTGGAAGGGCTTGGGTGGCTCAGGTGTTCCTGCACCATGCCCTTTTGTTTACGGTGAGAAGGCAGACTCAGAGGGCAGAACAAACACCTAGCTGTGGGAGTATTACCCACCTGGGGGAGGGGTTACTGCCCTTTGTGATGTCACAAAGGGAAAATCTCCAAACGGCCTGTTTGAGCACACATTTTCTGAAAAGTGGACTTATCTCATAATTGAGGGCTTTGTAGACAGACGAGTGATACATATTAGTGTTAGAAAAACATGGTGAAGTGTATTTTGATAATGTGACCTTTAATGTAAACATTATGATGACTCAATATTTTGTGTTAGTCATCCCAACCGATGAAAAGTCTTCCAACGTACAAAAATTATTCATCTGAATTGAAGAAAACAATGACATACCTTATAATAAAGTTAACTCAACTACCACAGTATAATTAAGAGGCCGCTATCGTCAGTGGCTCTATAGAGCAGTGATTACTGATGTGTCTTCACACTCAAATGTTCCCTAGTTTTAGTCCTGCTTGGACATGGATGATCTTAAAAATACAAGTTAAGTGAAATAAAAATTCTGAGTTTAAATTCAGTCAACTTAAAATCTTTCCTACAGTGTATTCCAAAAAGCTTTGTTCTGCTGTTTTGCCTGCATGCACGTCTGCGTGTGGCGAGATCGTGCACCTTTCTTGTGTACGCATACGTAGCAGAACACTCTTCTTCTTCCTCCTCCCTTTTGGTTTGAGGTGCACACAGATATCTCTGAATCCTAAAAATAAAGATTAGCTTTGAAGCAGTGGGCCTTTTCACGCCCATCACTCCTGGACGGACGTGCCCAGTGCTTAGAAGGTTAGAGGATGACAGGTGGTGAGGCAAAAAGGGGAACATGTCAATCTATTTCCATCCTCACCTTGTAAATGTTGTCTAATTGTATTTCCGTTGGCATAAATCAAGCTGCAGGTATGAGAATTCTCTCCTGCAGCAGCCCTATCTGTTCTTTCTCACAATCTCTTCTCCCCTTCCTCTTTATATCTCTTTCTCCTTCTTTATCTGCGTCTGTTTCCCTCAGCCCTGCTCTCGGTGTGTGCAGAAAGTGAAATAGAGCAGAGGGGAGATGGTATCAGAGTGCTGATGTACGATAGGGTCGAGGTGGAGGAGCACAGAGAGCGATGGCAGGAGGTTTGCCGGGATGTGTGGGAGTGACACACGTTTTTGCGCGACTGAAGGACAGAGAAGATGAGAAGGGGATAGCAGCAGGCAACTGACGCTCCTTCTCTCTCTCTCTCCCCCCTCACACACACACACACACACACACACACACACACACACACTCGGGGCTTCACGTACACACCACATGCTTCAGTAATCTGTGAGGAGATTGTGACTTCGACTAGTCTATTAATCAAGATAAGGGCTTAGTTAAGGTCCTTGATCAGATGCAGACACCCAGCTCTCATTACCAATTCATCTGTGCTGCAAGCTTCCAAAACACTCTTGCCCTCTAACATGCAACAATTCTGCAATTTGTCTCCTGGTTTAGACATCAGTGGCTTTTATGTAACGCTCACTCAGCCGCAAAACTGAGAGGAAATGCAGCATCATGCAAGCTCTTGACAGAGGCACTGTTTTTTTTTGTTTTTTTTCTCCCAGCGATGCGAGTCAGGTGAAATCTGGATCAAAAACCCTTCTGGAAAACAGGGAACTTAAACTGCTAGATGTGAGCATTTTTTACCTGAGATGTTTGAAGTTGTTCAAACTGCCTGAATTTATACTTGAACTCCAGCTCATCCCACAACCACAGCCTGAAATTCCTCCTCCCACTTCACCCTAGCAGAAACAACTAAGCAGATCATTCAGAGCTTTACCTCCTGTCATTCTCCGCACGTCTTTGATATCTGCTCACCCGACTAAAAGGGGAAAATCTCCCCGGAACACATTCCCATATGTATTATCCCGGGCTCAGCCCCGCAGAGCGAGCAGAAGATCCCCCTCAGATTTCCCTCCTCCAGAGGTTATTGAAGTGACTTTCCTGTGTGCAGCTGCAGACTGAGAGGTGAAACACAGGAAAGAAACTGTGACTCACCTCAGACTGTGAATTACTGACGTGTAGGATGCGATAGCCTAGATCCCTTTTTGTGCCCATGCATGCCTGTTTCCCTGGTGGATTAGAGGCTGGAAGAGGAGGTTATGCCATGGCAGAAGTTAAGAGGACCGGCGGAGAGGCGACGGAGCAGCTGCAGCAGCGGTGGCAGTAGTTGGAGGAGTTGTTGCACATCGGTGTCCGCTCATCCAGAGGCGTGAGGTCCCTCTCAGCCCCAGTCAGACAACACTCCCCCCCCCACCCCTCTCTCTTTTCCTTGGTTCCCCTTTCCTTTCCTTTCCTTTCTCTGCACGACTCAGACAGGAGCTCTCTCTCACTCACTCACTCACTCACTCACACACACATACATGCGCACACACACACACACACACACACTCTCTCACACACACACACACGCACGCACACACATACGACGGCTGAACTCCGGGCGCCTCAGCGACAGAGCCCACGCAGGCAGAATATCCCCATCATGCCGCCGCCACAGTGCTCCTCTCTGGCTTTCTCCGCTGTTCTGCGTGTGTGCGACCGAGTGTGTGTGAAGAGAGAGAGAGAGAGAGAGAGAGAGAGAGAGAGAGAGTAAGAGAGAGAGATTAAGCGAAAGTGGGAGGGAGCATTGGAGAGAGAGTGTGAGGGAGAGGGAGGAGGGGAGGTTGCAGAGGAGAAAGTACTGCTCCGGTTTTTTGGCTACATCTGGCAGGTCCATGTATCATCTCTTTTCATCTCGTCATCACTTACAGCAGTTTTGTCAGTGTCCTTATATAAGAATGCTTTAGTTTCTACGTCAGAAGCAAAATAATTGGTTTCCAACTTTTAGCGGATCTGTCAGGGCTCTGTTTTTCATCACAGGTGTACAGCCCTGAGAGCGAGTATTTGTCCTTCGAATGAAAGACACGGTTCAGTTCTTAAACATTTGAGGTTTCACACACACACACACAAATCTCCTGAAAAATTTCAGGGTGAGCTGCACGTGTGAACGCAAATGGCCAAATTTGTCACCCCGGGGGCTACCCAGACTTTTTCCTTACCAGTCCCTTAGTCATTTTTTATGCATGAACTCGCGGCTTAGCTGATGTGTGAGCACAGCTGGAAGTACAGTATTCAGAAAAATTCACCGTGAGCAAGTGGGAGGGGCTGATGACGTCAAACGACAGGTATCATTGCGCCATTTCTGCGTCGTCCTTTTTCTTTCCGTCATGTCCTGCCTTCTGAGATCCCTCGACCGTCAGACTGTCAGGGAAAAAAGGTTCCCGCTGGGGAAATCCAGATGTCAACAAGCAACGCAAAGAGCTATTGAGTGATGTTTTATTCCAAGTCCATTCAGTCTCTGGCATCACAACTTTATTCTTTGTGTGGGAAGAAGATTCCATCTGCTTGTTTGCCTAATCTCCTCCTTGTTGGTATCCATCTGTCCATCTGTCTTTGGCTGGTTAGTAGTAAATACAGAGAATGAGTTTTGCCACTTTAATTTTTGTCCTTGCTTATTGGATTTGTTCAGCGAACAGCATAAATAAGAGAAGGTTTCAGTCTTGTTTCATAGCCATGATCATGTCGAATTGGAGCTGTTAATGGCTGGTTGGCTCACCTTCACTCAGAGGGAAACCCCAAGTCCTCCTTTCAGCCTCAGGTACCATGGTAATGAGCTGCAGCTCTCCAGACAGCAGCTGCTGCTAGATTTATTTGCGTGTTTCTAGATGTGTGTGTGTGTATTTCTTATATAACCTCTGATTCGGGGAAAAAAACTAAAACATCACACAGCCAACAATTTCACCATAGCTCAGACCTGAGGGGAATTAGCTGGTGTTTATGGTGGAAATCAAATCCACTCGTCAAAATTAAGATCTTGTAAAGATTCCAGGAGTGGCAGAGATAGATCATGTAAGTCAACGATTTATAGATAAATGCGAAACCTTTTACAAACTTTTCAGCATCAGCTCGAAAACCCATTTGGGCCTCTTTCTTCTGGTGGATCCCCCAAGCCCCCTCCCAACCACCTAGCCACTAAAAGTAAGCAACACTGAAGTTGCCAGAAGGTCTGTATAATAATAATTATTATTATTTTTATAATCGTTTCAGCCACCTAGACATATGGAAACTAGGAATTGAGGGGAAAAAAATGTTTTACATGTACTTTATAATACTATTGAAAATGGATTAAGAAATAATGGATCTTTTGAATAGGTGTCTTGTCTTTAAACTCAATGAGGAGAAAAAAGTATAACCGTAACCCTAACCCTAAAATAAGCATGAGTGAATTCCAGACCCTTTTAATCTAGTCACGATAAAGTCGAGATTATTTGCACTTACACCAGACACAACATGCTTAATGAACATCAGATAAAAGACAGTTGGAAATTACCATTTGATTTATGGTTCACGTATATTTGACCTAATCTATTGGAAATCGAAAATGTAGCTTCAACAATGCCAGAGAAAAGTCATATATTACCAATATATACCAAATATGTGTTGTCTTTTTCCCCAATATTCCTTTCTGCATAATCAATAAATAACTGAATGATGATTTTTATATGGCAGTCAAGTTAAGCTCATTAAATGATCAATCAAGCGCCATCATTGTCATGTTCAGACCGTACAATTGTAGCATAAAGAAGCAAACAAATAATTGAGCATTGCAGTGGTTGTTTTATTTCTCTAAATACAGAGAAGAGAAGTTGTCTTGTTTTGTCCATTCTCTCTTGTTTGTAGTAAAAGAATACTTGACAGCTCTGTGAATGTCAAGCACACAAATCTATTGCAGGCAGTTGGGCAGCAGCTGATCCAGCTGTGGAAGAAAGTCCCAAAGAATTGTTTGAAGAATAGAAAAGGAGACGTGACTGAATCACATTTGAGTCTCTCTTCAACCTTCAATCTATTAGACCTCCTTCCTTGTTTATCCCTCTCTTCCAAACCTCTTTGCCACACGTTACTAATAGGAAAGATTTGTTATTCTTTGCCCTCCCTGCCGCCTCATTTCACTCCTACAAGGTGACATAAAAAATCCCTGCTTTCTGACTTGAAGGTGCTGAACTCACACTCTCAACATGATTTTGCTTCTAGTTCGGGAGTTACATATTTGCTTCACAGCCTTGTTATAGCGCTGTGAGGCAACAACAAGCTGCACTTTTGACTCCCAAACAAAGCTGAATGATGTTTGTAACAGTTTGACCTTGGAGCGTCTTCGTGCTTGGCAAGTGTCTGAGATTTGAACCCAGGGTTAATGGCATTTGTTTAATGGATCAAACTCCTCTGGGAGGCGATGACTGCTGTATGTGGGGGGGGTTAGAAAACACTGCCATTTTTCTTGTATTGGAATCTGCTCAGTGATCTGCTTGTGTAAGCAAAGCGTTTCTCAGATGGATAAACTGTTGGCGGTGGAGAAGTCACTGAAGTGACTCTCCTCTGATATCGATTCCATTACCTCAAAGCCCGGCCCTCAGGGAACGTGTCTTTGATGTCCTTGTCCTCTGCATGTTCGGCATACGTAAGGATGTGGTCTATGATAGACCCACATCCAGAGCCTGTTGGCAGTGTGACGACCCCCGTTAAATACCACAGAAGTGTCCCTAATGTTCGTTATCAAGGAGATGCAACAAATAATACAGAAGTTCTTCCTCTTACATTCGCTTTTATATCATTGTGTAACTTGTTATGCAATACAAACACCTTTAATGATACATGGAATATTTATCGAGGGTCTCTCTTCCCGGAGAGCAAAATGTATTTTTAGTTTGTAGTCACCTTTTCTATCTTCTAGACTATTCAGGGTCATAATGGCACAAAAAGATGCTCTAAGCAAAGTGCAACATGGGACCAAATGTAGCAGTTGGCTTACTGTACGTCACATAAATATATTGGGATGTTAAACAGTATAGAGCTTAAATGCGGCGTTGCATGAAAAAACAGATTATCGGCCCCTTAAACGCCCGGGAATATTTAAGATTCCCGGCAGTGAATGGCCGTTTACATCGAAGTTTGCATATGCTGTTAATTGGCGTGAAGGTACCTGGGGGGAGGGGCAGAGGTTCAAGCAGCAGGTGGGGTTCGAATGGCTCTCAATAGCATTTCAATATCACTGGTGTCCTGCCTTCCTGACCTCCCCCAGATATCCATTGGCTGATCCAACAGACTTTTCCAAAACAAAACTCTTTTGTGATTGGACAGTAGATCTGTTGCTATTGTTCTTCATTATGCTGTTTCCTTCCATCATCCCAGTGTCTTTTACTCCTAAGAAATCTGCTATGAATCTGTTTTCCTGAGAACAAACACAATGAGTTCCTAGAATGCTACTTTTCTACTGATACAGGTTCGATAAACATAAAACTTATCATTTTAGTACCCTCACAGTTTCTCCAGTCTATCCTCTGGGATGTGAGTGCATTCGTCCTCACAGAGAACCTAGAGTGTGGTGTATGGAGACATATTACTAGACAGTGGGGGAAGAGAGCTGTCAATTTATTATAGCTCAGATCTTGTGGCAATCGTATAAGAAAAAGGGAAGTTTTCTGTGTGTGTGTGTGTGTGTGTGTGTGTGTGTGTTATTCTGTTTGCGTGTCCCTGTGTGTCTATTTCATCTTGACAGCCAGATATGATGTGTCTGCCGTGCAGCAGCGTTGCCCCAGTGAGTCTCAGAGTGAGAAGCTGAAATTGTGCCTAGCAGATACGTCAGCCACAGTCTGTCCTCATCTGCTGCAGTCTTTTGGTCTTTTCATCAAACATGTGTACAAAGCCCGAGCTGTCCCAAAAAAAACTGAAAAATTGAGACTTGAGATTGAGACAAAGTGATTAAAGGGGATGACTTCAACCCAATTTTATCCTTTTAAGGTTTTAAGGACTTGGAAATTAAACATTGGTGTACTGGCAGCACAAGAATGGTGTATTGCCTGTAAAATAAAGGGAGCATTTTTCCAAATTTGATCATTTTAATGGTTTAAGGAGATGGAAATTAAGCTTCAGGGCACTTGCAGGTTTTTTTTTTGGTTTTTTTAGCAGATTTGGTATCACCAATTCTAATTTTTTCTCAGAAATGTCAGGACAAGTCTGAATTTTGGGTTCTGCTTCAGACCGGCTCTCTGTCAAATTCTGAATTTTTCCAAAGACATGTTTTTTTTTTAGCTGGTTTTGACCTTTGATGACAACTAGTCTTTGTTATCTGGACAGAATGTTACAGGTACCAAGGCCTGACAATGCAACACTGACCTACAAAAAAAAATCCCCGTCATGCTTCAAGCCGTCCACACAATCTACCACAC